TGAAACGCATCGCTGCTGTCCTTACGTGGATTAGCACTGTGATTTATTACTGTTGTTTCCAGGTTTGAACACAAAGGTGCTGTCTCATTCTGGGAGGGTTGTCTGCGGGAAGCGAGCCCCCGAGGATGGCTGCTTGACAAATACCTGCGCTCGGGAGCACAGCATCATCTAGACACATGTGTTAACTGCTTTATCGAGGAATCGTCCGCCTTTGCATTTGTTTCTACAGGGCTTCAGCAAAACCTACGTGACAGGCTTAGGCAAAAGGGGGAAAAAAACGCGGAAAAGAGGCATCCTGGCTGTGACCTGTTGCTCTGCCTTTGACAAGGAAGTTGCTGTGGTTTGGGGGCTGCAGTTTGTACTCACATTTTTGGCTCAGGTTTGCAAGGAGTGAGCGGTTTGATGTGTGATGCTTTCCATCCCAAAACAAGCCGTCAGCCCCTGTCTTCCTTCAGAAAATTATTGCCACACCCAAAGGGAGCCCTGCGGTGTAATTTGTGGGTAATAGAGGGGAACGGACCTCGGAGGGAGAAGGGTTTCCAACGTCTGGAAGGAACTGTCTGAAGTGAGAGAAATGGGCGTGTTGGAAATGACAGATGTGCTGCTGGCGCTTCCTGGCTCTGCAGAAGTGGCTTTGGGGCAGAAATGGAGAAAAGCTTGCTTTCTGGGAGCTACCACAGGGCTGCCTGCCTTTCATCGTTACCTGCACGGTTGTGTCCTTGCACCCGGCCCCCCAGAAGGGAGAAGGAGGAGCGCTCGCACATGTAGGCCTACGGTAGTTTGCAGGCAGACATGTGAAATACAGGTTATCCACGGACCAGTACGCTCCCTTTCTCAGGGGCTCATGGCTTTCAGGGAAGGTGGCGTGGCCGCAGTCCCTGCCGTGCTCTGTGGGTCCTGGGGTGCTGTTCCCGGGAAGATGCGGTGCCATTCTCTAGGCACCCGCTTCCTCCCCAGGGGAGATGCCGTGTCCTTCAAGGCACCCTCGCCGAGTGGTTTCTGAGCCTTTGGCTGTGGTTGGAAAGGCAGGGCACGTCTCTAGCACGTTTGCTTAGAAGTGGTGGGTCTGGGGTTAAAAGTTAACAATGCTCTTTCCTTATTCGGTCCTAATATAATTTGGGAAGGCAGCAGGGAGGCAGAGGGCACTTAGTCTGGTAAGTGCTATTCCCTTGATGGGAGTTAGTAGCTTGCACGGCATGCATGGTGTTGACCTCGTTAGCTGACCTTTACCTCCATCAGGTTCATTTTTATTTATAATATTAAAAAAAAAAAAAAATCCCAACCTCTTATTTGTTCTTTAGGCAGTGAGGACATAAATCCTTCCGTGTGTTTGGATTTATAGAATCACTGCGCTTTTGCTGAGCCTGACGTCCCACTCCAATCCAATGACACGGCGGCAAGTCTTAGGGTTATCAGCATTTGCGCATGAAGCATAACGACCTCCAGGTATCTTCTTTCCCGGCCCAGAATAAAAGATGCTAAAATGCTTTTATAGGAGGCATTTCCTCAGCTGTGCTACAGGCCTCCTCTGAAACCAGAGCGTTTCCGTGGTGGCTGGGGAGAGGGGGGAGATATAAATATCTTTCTTGGCTCTGCTTGGCTTCTCCCCAAGATAAATAGAAGTGAAAGTCAAAAGTAGAGGCTTGGCCTTCTGAAATCTCTTCCTGAGACCCTGGGGACCGGAGCGTGGGATGCTTTCATGGCGGGGAGGCCGCTCCTGGGGTTTCGGGGGCGT